ACTCATGTTAACTATTGGACTTATAGTTCTTAGTGACAAGTGACTTCTCATACCTTGTGTTCTCCCCAACCAGTTCATACTATTCAGATTGTTACTAGGAACCCTAACCCAGTTAGGCCCCAGTAGGATCTTTAACATCATGGACTTAGAATGAACTAATAATAAAGGTCTCTATCTCTTTCTAGTTCTTATAAAAGAAAGTTAATAAGGAAACGACGAAAGTCCTTAATTCTAAACTTTTTATATAAACTAAGAAGAAGATTATAATTAGTATTTTTAAGTAAGACTCGCTCTCTAGTATACTAAGAAATTATACTAAATAGAAACGATAAAGAATACAACGCCTACGAGCGGAAATAGAGCGGAATATACGATCTAATTCTAAATCCGAAGCATTAAAGTCTACTAGTGTAGCGAATATATTATTTATCTTTCTCTTTTCTACGACGAAGACGACGACGGTCGTCGCTCGAGTTTTTACGAATCTCTTTCTAAGTGGCGCTAATATAATTCTAATAAGTAGTGAAGAACTACAATATACACTCTATACTATTATTAAGTCGCTTAGCAATATAAGAGAGCGTAAAATAAACGTACTAATTCCTATAATCGAGAAGTTATAAATGGTATTCGAAGACGCTAACGTTATTACGGAGTTCGATGATTTTAGGACCCATAATAAGGCGCGAAATACTAATTATTAAAGTATAGATTAAGCCGGGGTAATCGCTAATTACTAGATAAGAGCCTAATATAACGTTCCTCTTTAAATAAAGTGAATTACACCTAGACGAAACCCTATATTAACACCGTACTAGGGGAACGACGATCGCGAACTCATTATTTTCTTTATTCATAACGATAAGATAATCGAATATAAAAGAAGGAATAAAACTGGCGAGAGACGAAATCGCGAGGACCGTATTAGATATTTTTTCGGCCTTCGTCCGCGGATAGCTACTATAGTACTAAACGCTAAGATTAATTTTATCGATAATAGTGTTAATGGCTTTAATAAGGAAGATAATAGTAACTTAAGTATTAATATACTAAGTATTCGTATACCGCGCTCTAATAAAAGTAGTAGAAAAAAGATTCGATTATTTAGATATATTGGCTACGCGGTTAAAGATCTTAATATAGAGACGCTAGCTTTAACTCCCGAATCTACGTCTTACACTAAGGCGCTACGGCGACCTAACGTACTATAATGGAGAATTACTATAGATAGTGAGTATAACAAACTAAACGATAACGAAATATAAATCGTTATAGATCTACTAGACGGTATTATACTTATCACGGTAAAATAGATCTTTAAGCGGAAACTAGAACCGGATGAATTCATTATAAGATAGAAGGCTTAGTTATACACGAGAGGCTTTCTACAGATTTAAGGAATTAACTTCTCCGAATCTTATATCTCTATGACGAAATATATATCGTATCGAATTCTATTCGCTTTAGTAGCTATATTTAGATAGATTATACACTAGATAAATATAGTGTAGATCTTCTTAAATAGTTTTCTTCGAGAACGGATTTATATTCGGCTACTCTCTAGCTACTCTCTTAAACGTAGAAAAGTTCTTCTACTTAATAAAGTATTATACGACTTAAAGTAGATCCCTCGTAAATAGTATTTACTTCTTTACGTAGAACTAACGAAGAAGAGATAATATATCTCGGTCTACGATAATTATATCTTTATTTACGACGAACTAAAGTTATATAAATCGGTATAAGTAAATAATATCGCGATCTATAGTATTTATAAGGCGGTAATTATCCGGAAGAAGAACGATTTAGCTACGATGTTTAAGATCTTCGATAAAGGGGAATATAAGTAGTATCTTAGTATAAAGATAACCCGCGAAGAAGAGTATATCTATATTTCTTAAGAAAGCTACTTCGTTTAGATACTTAAGAAGTATAGTCTTTAGAATATTCGCGGCCGGTCTATAGTTTTTGTGGAATATCGCCCTCTAAAGGTTTATATTAAACCTTTAGTCACGTGATTAAATACGAAGTTTAAGTTCGTATTTAGACCTAGGGTCTATGAAATTACGTGACTAGTGCGATATTAATTCCGCACTTTATTAAATGATTAGTCGTGCTTACTAATGTTGATTTGAAATCAACATTTTAAGGGTCTTAACTGTGGACACTTATTGTCTATATAAAGACCTTTACCCTCTCTAGGTAAATAGTTATCTTCAAGTTCTTTAATAGTCACTTACCTACCTATAAGGTTTACGATCTATATGAGCCTTACTATCTATACATTAGATAGTTCTCTAAGTCCTTTGAACAAGCTCTATGAATAGAGCGCATAGAGCGAGTAGAGCGTATAGAGCGCTAGTATTATATATATACTCTCTTCGTAACTAATTTATATTAGCTATTAAATTATATAGTTCTTAGTAATATTAGACTACTTATATCTTACGTAATTTATATTTAGTTTATACTATTTAAGAAATTATTACTAAGACTTCTAACTTAATTAGACCTTAGTAGAAATTCTAATAATATATTAGAGAAAGCTTAGAAATATCGATCGAATCCCCACCTAATTAAGATATTAATAGTAAACTTTTTCTCGCCACTTTTATAATAATAAGCTTAGAAAGTTGCGACAATATAAGTCGAAAGATAAGAGTAAAAGAATATAATTTTATTATATTCGCTACTTCTAAAGAGATGAAGAGTACGAGAGCTCGTTACTTAGTGTCCTCGTACGTTTCTTAAATATAGCGAAGGAAAACATAACTACTAAGGATCGAACTAAGAATAGCTCTCTATAACCCTATATTTCGGATAAATACACCACAGTAAATATAAACGATTCGGTTAGGAAATATAAGTGCCGACTATTTAGAAGAGGCAGCCAATGATTTCGGATTTAAGATTCCTTACAAAATCCCGGGTTAAGTCTTAAATAGTATCTCTCTTTTCTAGTGTTACTGAGACAAACCTACGAAAGATTTATTAACTAATAGAGAACTACTAGTTCTATAAGTATACTCACTATTTACCTGTTCGGTGAAAGTTATATTAGATGGTGCTGCGCCTTACGCGAAAGACTTTTTAGTAAATGTCGACGTTAAGGACATTTATTCTGTTATTATTTCTATGAGTCTCACGTGGTTTTAGACCCAATTTTCTACTTAATATCTATTAGATAGCGCTCGATACTACCGCTCATAAGTAATCTCGAGTCTTAGATAGAGAATAACTTAGGAGAAAGTGCGGGAAGATATTGTACTCATGGTAATATATCTCTTATAAACTAATGTGAGACTAATAGTATACTATTCTAGTTAACACTCTAACTTGCTCTAGACGTTGATGAGTGACATAAAAGCTCTCATGATACACCGAAAGAGTCTCGAGGCAGTTCTATAAGGTGAAGGGATCTAACACTAATCGGATTAATACGTTAGTATCGTTAAAAATAAGTAAGTGAACTATGAGGATATTAACTTAGAACGATATCTAAATTAATAGGTACGACCTCTTACTTAACTTTAGGGCGACTCTATCTTAACCGATCTATGGGAATCGAGGCCCGCAACGCCGACTAGATTAGACTACCTAATAATCTTAAATTCGCCAGATATATTCGAAGTGATGACTAAACTCCCGGAAGGATTTCGCGCCATCGGTTTGTAGTAGCGTGGTCTTCCCATGGAGCTTGTAAAATCCGACGTATAGATAGTATTCTGGTTAACCAGTCTAATGAGGAATTAGTCACTCCGATCTTATACTTCTGCAAATATCTCACGGCGGAATCTTGATACGGAAATTAGCGAAATACAGCGGATATTGCGGTATTTAGATTCTTTAGGTGCTTCCCTTAAGCGATGTTTTTGCTTGGCGTACTATACGTCGATGGTAAGTATGTACTATAGAACTTTATGCTAGAGTTCGTAAGTATTCCAAAAGTACCGAGAAGAGGTCACAAAATCTATTGTTAACATATATATTCCCGAGACCCTTGCAGAAAGGGAGCTTCTACTCTACACGATAATGCTTATAATGGAAGTATGAAAGAAGAATGCGGCTCTCGAATCTAGGGACGTCGAGCTAGTGGAAAGAATGAAACCTCGCTATCCGGAAATGCAGCACTAAGAGCTCCTGAAAGAGATTCTAAAAAGATTCATAGCGACTAACCATTAACTAATAGAGTGGGAGCGGGACCTTAGGTTGAACTAATCGATATATATCTTCATTATAATTTCTCTCTTTATTTTCAAAAATAGGGACGATCTTATAAGCTAACTTCTTAATGTGTATAGGTGTATATTTAACTCTGTCTCGTTAATGCTATAAGTTGTGTCTCGGAAGAGCAAGCTAAAATTTACTTTTTAATGGCTTAACTATCTTTAGGTATAATTATTCTATTTTAGAGGAATCTAAGCATTAAGTAAAGGTATAAAAGAATTTTAAAAGAATATAACTATTTCAACTGAGATTAATCTACACAGTGTGTAATTATTACTCTTTTCTTCTTAATAGGAAAGCAGAAGAACTAACACGGCTAGACTTTTTCTAATAATGCGTAAATATATTCTTAATTAGACTTAGCAAAGTAAATGTTAATGGAATCTTTTAAAAGCTTAATCGATATATAATTTCTAAGATACTAGTTTCTAAAGAATGAATATCTAGTGGCCTAAGTAGTTTTAGAGATATGGTAAATTAATTTGTGTCCAGACACTAAGCCCTTTCTTAAAAGGTCCATCTCTTCGAGGACCCCAGCTAAGCTATTTAGACCGGCCTTAAGAGGATGAGTCTTTAACTTTTCTTTACGTAGAAACGCTTTAATCATTTCGAACCAGCGTTTAGTAAAGGTAAAGTCTTGCGCAGAAGCTACGATCGGAGTTCCGATGTAAACTATATCTTCTCTTATAGCGGTATATGTAATGCTTAATGACGGTACCACGTCCTTACGTAGCGAGATTTCACCTAAGAGATTAGCAAATCTAGGGCTCGCTCCTAATATGAGGGCAGAGACACAGTACTTAGCTATACTCTGTGAAGAGATGCAATTAAAGGCGTACTTTAAGGAATTACTCGTCTCGGCACGGATCTTAGAGGGTAAATTAGTTTTGTAGTCATAAATAGCAGTGGCGCCGAGTGATTTAACAAGATCAAAATGTTTGCTAGAGTAAACCGCAACGGGGGATAAGCCGGACCTACAATGATATTAAGTTAGCAATACTTTCAATAATATAGGGCAAAATGAAATGTAAAAATTAGAAAGATGCCTATATATAGTTTCGCAAACTATACCGCTAGAGTACCCGTTGCTAAACTTACTCCGTAGATAAGAACTTTCTCGCTAGACATTGCGAGGTCGCTCGGCCATGAGAGCCTCATTACTTAATACATATTCTAACCGATAGTTATAACGCCCAGCGGAAGAGTGGCCGCCTCATCGAAGCTTATGCTGTCTAGAATATGGAACTATAGATCTCCTTTCGCTACTATATACTCTACGAAAGCACCATCTTCTAGTTAAACAGTATTTATTTCGTGGACGAAGCCAGTAACTCGGTCTCCTTTTTTAAAATTCTTAGTGACGGCTTTGCTAACTTCTTTAACGTATTCTGCGTAGTCACACTCGATAAGCGCACCAGTTATTAATATAAAATTAATATACTTTCAATCGGTAGGGTTAATGGCTACTAAGTGAGTCTTAACGAGAATGTAATTATTTCTTAATTTCGGAGACGGTCTATCTAAAATAAGTTTTGCCTCTTTAGGGCCTGCGTATATAACTGCTTTTATAGTGAAAGATTTTTACTCGAGGATAAAAAATAGAAAAATTATATTGCTTATAAGTCGATAGAATTTAGTATTTACTTCACTTAATAGATTCGTATAGAATACGGTGACATAGATATATAACGATCTCTCTTCTTATCTTCGTGTGAGTCTTTATTAGAGAAATAGATAAGCCGTATAATTTCGGAACCGGTATAGGATAGATAAATGACAACGCAGGCCAGAAACTTTAGATTAGGATTGCCCGCGATAGTGCGTCGCCGGCCTTTATACACTGGCTGCCTCCATTTAAAACTTTTTGTCGGGCTGGTTTAGTTCGCGTAGTGAAAGGGTATTCTTACGGTAGCTATCTAGCATTAGCCATTAGTGCAGAACTAGAATATCTATATCTTAGAACGGCGTATATTATTATATACTTAGCTCGCTTAGGTCGTGCAATTTATTACGAAATCTTCTTCTACGGGACTAAAGCTTAGTAGCTATTAAGGATTTAGCGAGCTACTCCTAACGAGAACGCTTCGGTATCTAATTTATAAAGAATTCACAGAGTAATGTAAATTTAGGGAGAGCGGGAGAATTTCTTTCTATAAATTTAGATAGACGCCTACTCCTTCACTATATAATTAGCTCCTAATGCGTTGAAATATATAAATTCTCTTTCCTATATACTTCGGATTAGACCGTCTAAAAAGTAGTACGGATAAGTTTACGTTTCACGAATTCATCAATTCTAAGTTCTGAAAGCTCGCGACCGAGTCTAGAGTTCTTAAAACCACCGAAGGACACTTCTAGATCAGTAAATGCATAGGAGTTAATAAAAACTATATCGGATTCGAGCTTTAAGGCGACTTCCTGGGCGTATTTGACTTTACGGAAGACGCTGGCGCTAAGTCCGAATTTTGTTGAGTTGGCGAGTTTGATTGTCTCTTCTTCTGTCTCAGTCACATAGAATGATGCAATAGGACCGAATATCTCTTACTAAAATAACGGATTATCGGGGCTGATATTAGTAATGATCGTTAGCTCGATGTAAAAGCCTAGGCGATTAATTCGCTTGCCGCCCATAATAATTCGGGCTCCGGAGCCCTAGCGTTTTCGACTTAGTTTAAAAGACCGTGCGCCGCACGCTCTACGAATAATAGACCCAGCGAAGTATAGCTATCGGCTGAATCACTAACCTAAAGTTTTACGAAACCCTTACTTATACCTTTAAGACATACCTTTCTACGCTCTTTCCCCACGACAATATACCGTTTAGAGAAAATATATACTTAGTCTATGTAGATCATACGGTAGATAACACCTTAATTTATAGTACTTTCGAGGTCGGCGTCTAGAAGTACAATGAGAGGATCGCTTCCTCCTAGTTCGAGAACGACCTTCTTTAGATTACGGCTCGCTCGTTTAGTAACCGAAGCGTCCGCCCTCTAACTTCCTGTCAATATAACTCCATAGACGTAGAAATCATCGATGAGAAAATTAACCTAGGAAATGGTATAGAATAAGTTAATATTTCTCTTAGGGGCTCCAGCTTCTATAAGTGATTTAAGGAACGCTAGCGTATATTATGGTACACTGTGAGCATACTTGACGATAATCACGTACCCGCAATAAGCTATGGCGCAACGATACACACTAATTAGTAGTAAGAGAAGTTCCATGGTTCGATGGCGAAGAGGACTCCAATTGACTTAGTAAATATAACTAATCCTGGGGCTCCATCGACTAACTTTAGCTCGAAGAACTTTTCTACGTGGGTCGCATAGTACTCGAGGATATTAATCGTAAGATTAACTTCGTTTCGAGATTAGTCAATGAGCTTACCCATCTCATACGTGACCAGTTGAGAATATTCCTTAGCCTTTTACTGAAGAATTTTAGTAGCCTTTTTAATGACTCGCGCTCTGGTTGCCACGGGACTAAGGCGCTAGTCTGTTTCATAGGTATGGTGTGCCTGATCTAATACTCTACGAACCTCTTCGTCTATAGTTTCTAGGAAGATTTTCTTACTTTTTACGTCGCGGTATTTATGGACTAATATTCGCTTTCATAGGTTAGTTTTAGAATCTCTTATATCGGAGTTGGCACTGGCGCTGTTACGTCCTACTCATTAAGTATTATAGAGATAAGGCAGTAAACTCCAATAAGATAAATTAGCTCGAAAGTCCTTTACTGGCTAAACTCTTTAACTGTAGTAGAATAGATATCTTCTAGAAGAACATCACTACCTATGAGAGCTACGACTATATTATATATAACGGCTTTAGGCGCGTTGAGATTTATAGGTCGTTTACCCGATGTAAGTGTTTTAACTTGGGTCTTATTAATGCCGAGACTTTTAGAGACGCTAGAGTGAGTATATAACTTATATGCTACTTTGAAATTCGACCCGACTTTTAGAATTGTAACTTAACGCACGCTCTCAGGTAACTTAACGTTCGTAGTGACGAGTTTAGTTAAATTCTAGATTGCTCCTTTAAGCATAGACTCTTAGAGCCATACGCTCTAAGAGCTAATTAAAGCCCCTTAACTCATCTTAGTCTGAAACCCGGGAAGATGTGAGGAAATCACGGATTTAATATCTTGGTAGGGCCCTTTCTACTCGCCCGAAAGTTAGGCTTAAGGAATAGGAAGGGTACGTTAGGTCATTATGGAGTTTAGACTAATACATCAAGGAGAGAAGAAAGCTCGGAAGAATGAATGATTTTAGGGCTTTACAAAAAGATCATATATACTAGCTAATTATTAAAGAAAATGCTTCTTTCTAGTGACTTTACTAGTGGTATTAGCTTCTAACTGGTGAGGTTGAAGTTACTAGATCACCATGATAAATAATGCATATATACGTCTCTCCACTAAGCTTTTTAGAATAAATGCTACCGTGGATTATACTCATTACGACTTTAAGAGTATATCGGCGGTGGGGATAGGAGTGGTAAGGTTACGGGACGCTGCGTTATCGATTTCAACAGTTAGCGCGTTAGATAATTAACTTATCAGAAGGCCAGGTACTGTGCAGCAATAAAAAATGGTAGTGCTAAGTTTTAAACCGACGGCCTTACTTCCTCAGCTTAGTTATTCAACTTTTACCCTTAATAGTAGATTGTGTAACAGTGTGAGAGTATAATGGGAGGAGTTACACGGACTCAGCCAAATTATATCGATGGTACTGAAAGGTTACTAATACCAAAGACAATGGATAAGAAGATAGCGACTTATACGCTGAGTTTACGCCGCTTTGAGTTGAAAATATTTATTTCCTTTTATTTAGATGCTGTAGGTGGAAATTTGACCATGGAAACTGTATTGGCTAGCTGTGCACCTTTGGTAGTCTTTGATATATAAATCGGGAGTGATAATTCTCCAGATAATCTTTAGTTGTTGGTTGACACTCTCTCCTATGTAGTATTATTACTATTGACGTAATAGTATGGCCTAATGTAACCTACCATTATAATGATTACTCGTGTGAGTAGTGTGTTTTTTTCCGTTTTTTTTTTCGGGTTAATAGTATACTAAATAAAGTCGAAGGTATAGAGATCTAGAACTGAAGAACTAACCGAGTTGGCTATGTATAGAAAGTAGAACTACTCGATATGCTTAACATCGATGGAGGAACCTTTGGTCGGCTATCGGGGCATAATAAACCGGAGGATACTATAGTTTTAGAGATATGGCTATAATAACGAGGTTAGGCGGGAAATTAAGGGGAACAGCATAGATTGAAGAATTAATTTAATTAAACCAGAGTATATAAATATTGTTTGACCTATTTTCCGAAAATTCGATCATCACTGTTGGGTTTGACGAGTTAATGCAAAGTATGATCTTAATAGTTAAGCTGTCCTGCGGAGGGACATCCTCTGTCTCGTGAGCAGAAGTGCCCACGCTTAGCTCTCTAGCTATGAGAATAAATTGTCGCGACTGCACTGTAGGGGGATACTTCGAGCGTAGATTCCGCGGTTCCCGGCTTCGATAGGTGATAACGAGGTGTAGCTAATGCGGGAAAAAGGAGATATATCCAACTGTATCTTATAATTTTCACATGTCTAAGCTTATATCGTGCTGCTGAGGGCACCCTCTCTAACTTATCGCAGATATATTGTAGATTGTTCCCTTTCACGACGTTGTAGATTATTACACCATTTCGAGGCAATCTATCTGCGTATCACGAGCGTTAGAGTAAATGCCTTAAGGGGTAAAATAGTTAGTTTCTGCTGAGTGAGAGCGCAGCTAGGGGGTAGTTTCTAGATCTAAGGTGTAAGGTAGAACTCCGGGCTAGAACGCGCTAATATTGAGTAGGAATTTACTGTAGATTCTATGAGAGCTTAACATTAGTCATAGCGACTAGGAATTAAGAATAGAGTCTTACGTACGTTCATGAGGGAGTGCCATCGTATTGAGAAGAAAGAAGAAACCATAGGGGACTCGTTGATGGAAGGCTTGTAGATTTGGCTTATAGATTTCAGACCAGAGTGGACTGAATACTTCACTAGGTATCGATAGTGAGCCCTAAAGCTAAGTAACAGCAAGAATGGAAACATCAATGTAACTCGAAGGACGTTTGGAGCTCTGAAGTCACGTCAAAGAGCTCGGTTCGTAGATAGTCTTATTATGGATCCTTAAAAGATCGAAGATGAGTTTGTGAGGTGTGGTGTGATTTGCTTCGTGTTTTTAGCAGTACTCCCGAATTAAGTCAGTAACGTTCTTCTAGTTCATTTGTCTCGTGGAGCGAAGCACCTACTAATCTTTATTGAAGTGTAAGTGAGAAGGAAAACCAGATAAAACCCGATCACCGTTTATACCCTAGATTAAAGAGAGGAGGGTTCTACATCCGCGGGCGACCTCGGGAATGGCTTTCGCTCGTCGTAGGTAGTCGTATTCTGCTTTCTATACACTTATAGCGGGAGCTCACTATCTTTAGTCGGTGTTAGCTTAACTTAGGTACGATACCGTTGTTTAGCACTTATCCTCGTAGATGTGGGGCCTCTACATACAACCTAAAAGACATTCTTCACGATAGTTAAATACGTCCCCTCCCGCTTCCGCTAAATATTATCCGTATACCCGGCTTAAGAATGTTTTAACCTCGCCCGATATTCCGAGATAGATTTATGTGCCTACGGGCGTTAAGTATACTCCGATTCCATTCACGAATAAATTTGGAGGCGGAACCGTATAACCTTACCTTCCGCTAAAGTATAGAGCGGAAGAGCCTCGCGGCTCTATAAATTCGACACTAAGCCACAACCACATCGTGATGGCCTAGCTCTTTAGCAGATTCTGGGAAGCTAAATCCGAAACACGCGCGATGTACCGAGTATCGAAAGTATATTCGTTTAAATAATAATAAGATTCCTCTCCCTTTCATCCTATTAAATTTACGGAACGTAAAGCTACGTTTCTAGCTTTACTACCCGCTTCTATTAACCTAGAATTACTAGCGATTTAAATAGTATATGCTAATAGCGGCTGCGATGCGGGAGTAAGTACGTTATTGTCTCCTACATCCCTTTTTAGGTTCTGCATATAGTAGATTTTTGTAGTTACAATAACTAAGATAAATAGACTATTTAATAGAAGTTAAGTAACTAGGTAGCCCAGGTTGCTTAAGTAGGCTTGTTACTCCCTACGAGTACCGAGGCGCGCACTAAAAGGTGTAACCGGCGCTATTTTTTTAGAGCCTAGCCTAGTTAGTTAGGGCCTCGGTATATTTAACTTAACATTCTCTCATCTATTTTATATGAGGCAATGTTGGTGTATATATATATAGACCCTAACCGCTATTACTATCTTACCAATCGTTCTCATCGCTGTCATAAACGCTAGATATTCTGGGTCTTAATTCTATTGGCCATTCTACTAGGTCCTCGGTAGGTAGGCTAGCCGTAACCTAAGTTTCATCGACGACGACCTCGCCGCTGCCTTCCTCGTCCAGTAGATAGATATACTTATATAAATGGCTAACCTTACGC